TTTTAAATGCAGTCTTTTAAAGGTTAAAATGTCCATACTACCCAAAGCAATCTATAAATTCAATGCAATCTCTATCAAAATACCAACAGTATATTTCACAGATTTAGAATAAACACTTTGAAAATTTATATGGAACCAAAAAAGGCCCCAAATAGCCAAGACAATCTTGAGAAAGAAGAACAAAGTTGGAGGGATCACAATACCAGATATCAAGTTATACCAGATATCAAGTTATACTACAAAGCCACTGTAATCAAAACAGCCTGGTATGGGCACAAGAACAGACGTATAGACCAGTGGAACACAACAGAGAACCCAGAAATTGACCCACACCAATGGTCAATTAATGTTTGACAAAGGAGGCAAGAACATACAACAGAGTAAAGACAGTCTCTTCAATAAATGGTGCTAGGAAAACTGGACAGGTACATGGAAAAAAATGAAGCTAGACCACCAACTTAAACCATACACAAGAATAAACTTAAAATGGATAAAAGACTTAAATGTAAGACATGAAACCATAAAAATCCTAGAAGAAAACATAGACAGCAAAATATCAGACATGTCTCATAGCAATATGTTTGCTGAAGCATCACCTAGGGCAAGAGAAACAAAGATGAAAATAAACAAATGGGATTGCATCAAAATAAAAAGCTTTTGCACAGCAAAAGAAACCATCAACAAAACGAAAAGGGAGCCAACTGTATGGGAGAACACATTTGCCAATGACACATCTGATAAGGGTTAATATCCAAAATATATAAGGAACTCATATAACTTAACAAATGGAAGATAAACAATTCAATTAAAAAAATGGGAAAAGGACCTGAATAGACACTTCTCCAAAGAGGACATACAGACGGCCAAGAGACATATGAAAAAATGTTCAAAGTCACTAATCATCAGAGAGATGCAAATTAAAACCACAATAAGGTATCCCTTCACACCTGTCAGAATGGCTACCATCAGCAAATGAACAAACAAGTGCTGGAGAGAATGTGGAGGAAAGGGAACCCTGGTACACTGCTGGTGCGAATGCAGACTGGTGCAGCCACTATGGAAAGTAGGATGGAGTTTCTTCAAAAGATTAAAAATTGAACTGTCATTTGACCCAGTGATCCCACTTCTAGGAATATATCCTAAGAAACCCAAAACACCAATCAGAAAGAACTTATGCACCTCTATTTCATAGCAGTGCAATTTACAATAGTTAGGATCTAGAAACAGTCCAAGTGCCCATCAATAGATGAGTGGATAAAAAAAGCTGTGGTACATTTACACCATGGAATACTATGCAGCAGCAAAAAAAGGATCTCTTATCCTTTGGGACAGCATGGAGGGAACTGGACAGTACTATGCTAAGTGAAATAAGCCAGTCAGACAAAGACAAGTACCGCATGATCTCACTTATATGTGGAATGTAATAAACAAAATAAACTGATGAACAAAATAGATTCAGAGATGAAGCATGGAACAGACTGAGGGATCTCAGAGGGAAGGTGGGGATGGGAGACTTGGTGGAGAAAGATTAATCAAAGAACTTATATGTTTATAAGCATAACCCATGGACACAGACATTAGTATGGGGAAGGCCTGGGGGTGGGGTGGATGCAGGGTAGAGGGGATCAATGGGGATAAAGAGGGGACATCTGTAATATTTTCAACAATAAAGATTAAAAAAATAAAAATAACGACAAAAACAAATGCAGAGCAGGTAAAGAAAAATTGTAGTGATTTTGGAATGTGTTCGAACTTAAGTGACCATCAGCTTAAAATAAATTGCTATGAACATAGCTTGTTCTATATAAACCCTATGGTAACCACAAACCAAAAATCTATAAGACATATACAAAAAAAAATAAAGTGAAAGGAATCCAAACACAAACTGTAGAAAGCCATCAACATATAAGAGAACAGAGAAAATGTCTATCAATAATTACTTTAAAGGTCAATGGACTAAACACTCCAATCCTATTTCCATGAATAAACTGTTTCATGCTACTATCTAAAGCCACTTGTACATATATTCCCATCCCTCTTCACCTACTCAAAGATACTATTCTGTGAATTTTCCCTGTTCCCTCTGATATTACCAATTTCCCCTTTTAATGTATACCTTTCTCATTAAACTCCTTGCTGACCAGTCACGAGTATACTCCTGTTTCCATGTCTGAATGTTGCTGACCAGTCAGGAGTTAAGTCATGTTTCCATTCCCAAATGTTGTTGGCCAGTCATAAGTTAACTTCTGTCTGCACTTACATTAATTTAAGTAATTTTAAGGTCTGAAAGCAATGTAGATTTTAAAAGAGCGCTCTAGACTGTTTGCTTGGTTATCTTTCTTTAGGCTCAGATTTTAAAGGGTGCGAGATACAAGCCACTTCACTGCTCAGCAATTATTTCGGTGGTCCCTAGTTTTCCTCTTCGTTATACGTGCCTTTTCTCAACTTTTCAGTCAGTATTTCCAGAGAAATGACAAGCAATATGTTTAATTTCAACGTATGGTAATATAAACATAAGATATGACAAAATAAAGTACATTTATTCTCATTCAGATGCTTTCATTTAATATTCAAGTGCGGAAAAGTAGCTGGCTGCGTGGATGAGTTCTAGCTTGAAATAGCCGGTCAGCAAGGGTTTAAGACACAAACTTTATTTCCCTCATCTTAAAAAAAATTTTAAAAGTCCCTGACTTCACCTCTAATTACTGCCCCATTTCTCTGTTCTCTTGTAAAAACAAACCCTGCTTCTGAAAGGAGCCGTCTCAATTCACTTTGATTCCTCTCATCTCAAACCAGGCAAACATTCCCACTCACCAAAACTGCTCACGATAAAGTCACCAATTACCTACATGGTGCTAAATGTTCTGGAAGCTCTCAGTCCTCATCGCATGTGGCCTAGTAACAAGTGACATAGCTGATCTCTTCAGTGTCCTTTTCTATACATGGCTTTCAGAACATCACACTCCTCTGGTTTTCCTCCTACATCCCTGGCCATTCCTTCAACCTCTGAATGTTGGCGTGTTGTACCTATGAGTCTCAGTCTTCTGGCCTCTTGTACTTTCTATTGCCACCCACATTTTATATCTTTATTTATCTATATGCTGATGACTTCCAAATTTATATCTCCAAACCTGACCTCTCTCCTGTACTCTAGATAAATATCCAATTGTCTGCTCACCATCATCTCTTGGACATCTAATACACTTCACTTTAATATATTGAAAACTAAATTTCTGATTTTTCCCTGCAACACTTACTCTTCCCAGTCATCCCTCTCTAGCAACTCTATCTCTCCAGTTCCTCAGACCAAAAACCTTGGGAGTCACTCTGAATTATTCTTATTTTCACAACCCACATCCAATCAAACTACCAACAAATTTGAACGCTCCACCTTAAAAACATATTCATAATCTGACCACTTCTTACCTCCTCCATAACTTTTTCCTGAATTACTGTCTTCTAACTGGTCTATTTCTGCCCTTGCCCTCAATGCAGCTGCCAGAATGACACATTAAATAAAAAATAGGCTTATGTCAAAGCAGCCGCCAGAATGACACATTAAACAAAAATTAAGCTTATGTCACTCTTCTGCTCAAAACCTCCACTGACTTCCTATCACTTGAGTAAAACTAAAGTTCTGTCAGAGCCTACAGAACTGCTCTACCCAAATGTTCCCCACGCCCCACCGGCCCTCTCTCTGATCTCTTTTCCTCCTACTTTCCTCCTTACTTAGTCTACTTCAGCAAAACTGTGGAAGTTCCTCAAACAAGCCAGGTACCCTCCAGTCTGAGCATTTACACTTACTGTTTCTACTAGAACATTCTTTCCACAGACCTCCATGTTGCCCATCACCTTTAAGCCTTTTCTCAAATACCACCTTCAGTGTGGGTCTCCCTCACCACCCTAATTAAAACTGCAAACTCACTCTCTCCCTCCCCTCAATACTCCCAATTCCCTTAACCTTCCTTCATTTTTCACCACAGCCCTCCTCACAATCATATATGCCACATTCTTTTATTCATTTATGTGTTTATTATCTGCCTCTTCTTACTGGAATGTAGGCTCCATTGAGAAGGAAATTCTGGTCAGTGTGGTTTATTGCTCTACCACCAACACTTGGCACATAGTACTAACTAAACACTTGTTCAATCAACCAACCAATCAGTCATTTAAAATTTGATTCCAATCAACAAATCTATTATAGGTGAAGATACTAGCATGTGTAAGTATTTTAGGAACCATTTAGCTTTACAGAATTTGAGACAAACAAAAAAGATAATATCAACTGGCCATATCCTTCTTGAATTAAAGAATCTTAGTTGAAGTATAGAGTGGTTGCAAGGCCACAGTGAGTGTTGAACACAGATAAAACTAGCCCATAATGAAAGAAAATACACTAGCAAATATGTATATGTAGGAAAGAGACAGTAAAATCTGAGCTAAAGTTATACAAGGACATACTTATCATATTTTGTGACAGTAAAACAGGGTTTATAATTAAGCCAGATTATAAGATTTTTATGAACCCCAAAACTAGAAGAACGTATACACGTTTATGTGTGTATTTATACACATTTATGCATCATATGTGTCTTTGTATATATATCAACAAAATATATTTTGATACTCTAAAAATGCACTGTCAAATTAACTTTTAGTGGCAGAATTTATTTTAATAGTTTAAAAAGTGGTATAATTAACAACATGGAAAGGTCTCTTAAGTGTTTCACTTAAACTTAATTTTATGACAAAAGAATTCTGTAAATGTATTATCAAATCTGGGGTTCAAGAGGTCTTGAGATAGTCTTCACAAGTGATAACTGTCTACTGATCTCAGTATGTGATGACCAACATCACTGAATAGTCTTCCTTTTGGCTGAATCTGAAATAAATCAGATTATGAATGGTTGCATAATGTTTCATAAGTTACAGGCAGTTCCACCTCCATTACTGCAATATGTAATACAGTGACAGTAGTTTTGCTGTGAAGACAGTCTTACCTGATCATGCATTAGTGCTGCAATGTGTGTTGTCTTGCCTCCAGGTGCTGCACACAAATCTAGAATCTTCTCTCCAGGTTGAGGATCCAGAACATGAGTAACTACAGCAGATGGCAAATTCTATAAGGGGAAAAAAAAATCAATTATCAATGATACTAAATCAATTTAAATTTCAGAATCAGAGAACGTAAAGAAATCTTTGAGGGTAATACAGTACAGCATCCTCTCCCAAGAGTACATTTTTTGTTAACCATAATGGTGTCAGGAAGCTTTCAGTTTCCTTCAGTATCCTACGATATCCAACAACATTCACATACATGCACACACACAATGCATTTCTCCAATCAATTCAGCAAAAAAAAGCATATTGTCCTTCTCATCTCAGTGATTCTCACTATTCTGGAGGCCAGAGAGAGATCCCTTAGAAATATGAGAAAGCTCTAGATCTTTTCCCCAGAAAAAGTATAAAAATTTGCAATTTCAGGTGCTTCATCAACTAACTCCCATTTCAAAATTCCATTTTATGCAGCTAATGGCACTGAAAGGCATGCTTGGGTTCCTATCTTCCCACCACTACTACATTTCAGTAGGAGAAAAGTAAAATGTAAAAAAAAAATTAGCTATTTCTGATAGACACCTAGATATATATTCTGAGATTATACAACCCAAATATACCTCCACCTATAGTAGCAAGTTATATTAAATCATTATTAGTATTAATTACATATGGATTTTACTATAGGATGACCACTTTAAATAAGAGAATAATATCACAAAGTAATTAAAATTTAAAAATACTTGGCAAGAAAAAAGTAGAGACTAACAAGCATAGGGCTATTTAAAGTTAAAAGGTTTCAATTTATTCTCACACCAAAACATTCACATCCATTATTATGTCCTTAAGAACTGTGAGAAGCTTACAACACTCTCGAATCCAAGATCACCAATTCAAAAGAGAAAATCAATGGTGAGAAAGGAAACACAAATAAGCAAGTTTCCACACACACACACCCTCCCTGTGGATACAGGAAGCATTAAAATCAATACAAACAACTGAGGTACCTGAAAAGCAGTCCCTCCCCACTAACCACTAAAAACAGCTCCACCTGTTACAGGTAGTTTTTCTGAACAGCCTGGTCTATTCCAAAAATATTTAAAAACTGAACTCTAATATGAAAACACTAAAACGCATATGTGGCTAATGGAGATTCTTTATCTAGAGATAAGTGGTTATGCTTAACTCTTAATGAAGGTAAGATTAATATACTGGTCAAAGATGACAGAAATTTTCACTGAAATGTAAATAACACATTAAAAACCTTCTGGTGATACAATAAGTAAAAATGATGAAACAGTCCAAGTAAAGAAGCTTCACTAAGTATTTAAATGATGACAGTTTTCTTAAAACAATTTAGTCTACTACCTTTCTCTACAGTATTTCTCAATCCTGGCTATACAAGAGTATCACCTAGTAATTTTTTTTATAATGCTCAAAAACAGACCAATCATAAAATTCATATGGGGCCACAAAAGACCTTGAATAGCGAAAGCAATCTTTAGAAAGAACAAAGCTGGAGGCATCATGCTCCTGAATTTCAAACTCTATTACAAAGTTTCAGTGGTTAAAAAGATACATTACTGGCATAAAAACAGACACAGATCAATGAAACAGTATAGAGAGCTCAGAAATACATTCATGCACATATGGTCAATTAATTTACGACAAAGGAACCAAGAATACACAACAGGGAAAGAACAGTGTCTTCAATAAACGGTGTTGAGAACACTGAACAGCCATATACAGAAGAATGAAACTGGACCACTTTCTTACACTACATACAAAAATCAACTCAAATTGGATTAAAGACTTGAATGTAAGACTTTAAACCATAAAACTACTAGAAGAAAACAAGGGCACTAAGCTCCCTAACATAAGCCTTGGCAATTTTTTTAACCAAAATAAAAGCAACAAAAAATAAGTGAGACTACATCTAATTTAAAAGCTTCTGGAGACTCCTGGTCAAGATAGTGGAGTAGATAAACACTATGTTCGCCTCTTCCCACAACATCAAAATTACAACTAAATTACAACACAACCATCATTGAAAACTGCCTGAAGACTACCTAAACAGAATCCCATAACGAAGGATATAAAGCAGCAGCCACATCGAGACTGGTAGGAGAGACAGAGTCGTGGAATGGGCTGTTCCCACGCCCACATGTGGCGGATAATTGGGAGTGATATCTCGGCTGTGGAGGTCCCCCCTGATGAGAGAGGGGTCCCAGCCTGACACCAGGCCGCCCTAGCCCAGGGCTCCAGTGACAGGAAGCAAAATCCCCATTTCTGGATGTGAAAAGCAGTCAAGAATTTGGCCGTGAGATGGATGACTGCTGGAGTCCCAGCCACTGAAGAGCTTAAAGGGCCAGCTCACAGTCTCACTCACAAACTCACTTGCTCTGAGCTCCAGTGCAACCTCAGCAGATGGAAAAGAGCCAGGGTCATACGAGGAGGAATTGCCTGGCTTCAGGGTGAGCTGGAGGGGCAGCTTTGTCTGGGACTGAAGTGCAAGTAGGCATCATGCTCTTTTTGAGCCACAGCTGGAGGAGCAGGCTGAAGTGCTGAGTACCACTGTTCCTCTGTTGAGCCCTTCTCCTACCCAGCCAGCAGGCAAAGCAGGCATCAAATCTGAAGGCTCCATCATCTTGGGTAACACTGTTCGAGAACCCTAACATATCTGATCTTTGGTATCTTCTTCTATTAGAATAACAACAACAACAGTAATAACACCACCTGACCAAATGGTAACAAATTAGTTAATATACACACAAGTACTTAATAAACTGAACAAGGCAAAACAAATTACAGTTAATTTGTTTGGGAAGGCTGTTCGAAAAGTGATTTGTTACAAAACTGAATCATTTTTTCCATTAGAAATAAATTGAATTCATTCCAGACTCCGAAATGATTCCCTTTAACCTTTCTTACATATAGTACATGTCTAATGTACTATTTAATCTATAAACAAACACTTCTTAAATGTATGAACCACCCCTACTAGCTTTACAGGAATTGCTTTCAGCATTCGTTCCAGGAGTGTCTTTCAGGAGGTAAGCATGGGGCATCTTCCCTTTTTCACATATCATTGCCTCAGAAATGCTGTCACTGGTTAACTGCTTTTCGTTTATCCAAATCAACAACAGTTTTTCTACCTCTTCAATTGCCTGTGATCATAGTTTCTTTCACACCCTTAGCAACATTAGCACACTTCATGGCCTCTTTATGTTTTTAAAATTGTGCTAATCATCCATTTCACTAACAATAAAGACAAAAAAACCCCACAAAAATATACTCAAGCACAACTTCCTGAGATGTTAACAACGTGAGGTTCAGCATGAGGCTCAGTGGTAAACTGACTTGAATTCTCTCCTTTGTTTGTGGCCGGAGAGACACTTTGTCATGCTGATAGATCAGCTCAAAAGGGTTGTTCGACATCAGAGACATTTTGAACAACTCTTGTGGAGAACAGAATTGTTCCAGGTGGGAGACATTTGAGAACTGAGGTTTGACTGTACTTGTTATAGCACCACAATTAATAATCACCTGACAAAAATCTGTTAGCAATAAACTATTTGAATCTTACTCAAAGTTAAAAATGAACACTAATACATATAGTAACGCATGTATTATTTACAGATTAATATTCTGAGACAGAAAGCAACAATTATAATAAGCTTTATATTAAAGCACTTGTGGGCAAAAGGGTAATCAGTTGAGAGTTGAGAGGGAAAAAAAGAATGCTTACAAAGTTTTTCTTATTGCTTAACCAAAGTAGATCAGAAAATATAGACCACAAAAAATATATTAATACAAGTAAAAAACAAAAAAAAACCTTAGATTTCAAGTAATTCACTGCAGTATGTTTCAATGTCAATAAATATTTTACTTTTAATAATTACTTACCTGTAAAAATAAGTAGCTGGGCAGTACATTGTCAAATGAAGGACTGAGATACACTGGTCCTGTCATTCTTACACCTATACCTCTGAAAATAGGAAATCTAATGTTAGTCTATATAAATTACAATGTCTATACAAACTCTATTTCTAGGAACATACACAAGTAGTAGCATGTCAAATATCAGATGCTCTGCCTTTTTAAAACTTCATTTTACTCAACACCAAAATACTTAGAATATTCCAGTAATTTGTTTCTGAATTTTTACCAACAGTAGGAGGTCATCAGGTTAGCTTAAAAGGATGGTTATGTAAATTTTTTCATTTGGGCACAAATGAGTAGAATGAAAATCAAAGAACATCTGATATCCCTTTGACTGTCTCCTTCACACCATGCCTACCAGCACAAGCATGTCCATCTATACAAAGAATAATTTAAACCAATTATTGCTCAGGTATGGGATTACATGTTTCTTTTGAAACTATTTTTGTAATATGTATTTCCATATAATGCAAAGTATAAGATCTTATAGGATAAGCAGTCTGTTAGTAAATTAATCTACTTCTATGAGTCTACGAATGGTTAAATTCAGCTGGAATTCAAGAAACAAAGGGTGCAAATATACTAGCTAAACACTGGTAGAGTTGGTTCTAAAATTTTTAAAGAATATAAATAAGAAACAGGGTGTACATATAGCATTTCTTTGTAACAGAAGCATGCTTCTTCTCATATAGACAGAGAAAGAAATCGTTAACAGCATAACCGATACTAGGTTTAAAAATTGAGTTTAAACATCAACAGTTTTCTGGAAGATGGTTGCTTTGGACTCTCACCAACAAAGAGAAAATTATTCAAAAAAGTCTGTTGGCACAGTCCCTGAAACTACCACATCAAACAAGATAAGAGGATGAAGAGTGTACCACTTATAATGAACTACAGGAGGCAGTCAAAATATCAATCCCCTGTTACATGACCAAAGATAAACACAGATCTATGCTTTATCTTCATATTCATAAAGCCTTCTAAGGGGGATAAAATCTCCATTTTGGGCCATTTGGAAAGTACTGCTAACTAGAGCTAGGGAATCCAATACCTGTTTCTTCAGAAGAATTAATTTCAACTATAAACTCAACTTGCTACAACATGAAAAACCATTCCAGGAATCAGAGGTATGGTCCAGGCCTATGTGGAGCGGGAAGAAACCTCCCGCTATCCTCCTAGGTTCTTTCAGCAGGTCTAATAAATCTACATGAGACAGATTAGATTAACAAGAGAAAATAGACAAACCTAATCATATTCCTACGTATGGGAACCCTACATACATGAGAGTCAGAGACCCCACAGGCATGAGAGCTTCAGAGACAAGAAGTGAAATGAGATGTGTATGACACTGAGCTAAGGATGAGGTAAGGCAGCTTGGGCCTTCAGAGCGGAGGAAAGTCATTCAGAGAACATTCACAGGACAATAAGAACAGATGTTCACTAATTAGATGTTTACCCTGCCCTACAGATAGGTCATAAAAAGTTATTTTTGGTGATGACTCTTATTATGGGCAAGGCCCCTAATTTAAAAATCTTTAAAGGAGAAGTTAAAGTTTCTCGTGAGCCTGCAGGGTCTCAATTGCCTTTAGCTCAATAGTACTAACATGCCAAAGGGGCCTGTTCTGAACCCCTCCACAGAAATTCACAGCTTTCAGCAAACCTACAACAGCTGTCAACTTTGGAGTTCTGGAGCTGTCCACAGAACTCCTAAAACAGGCTGAAAATACTAAGCAAAATAAGAAATTGGACTGTCCATGAATTTATTTAGAGCCAGTAGCACCCAGAGATGATTTAAAACTAACTATATTTTAATTTGGTTTGAGTAAATCCAAACATCAATTTTTGACCACAAGTATTCAAGTGAGTTCTGACTTTCTGTTAAAACTCATTTCTGAGTAATTTTTTTCTTTTTTGCCCAACCAGAGTGGCTCAGTTGAGCACCATCCCATACACCAAAAGGTTGCCAGTTTGATTCCTGGTCAGGGCACACATCTGGGTGTCAGGTTCCATCCCCAGGCAGGACATGTACAGAGGGCAGCCAGTCAACATTTCTCTCTCCCTCTCTCTCTAGGCATGTCCTTGGTTGAGGATAAAAAAGACCTTTTTTCTTCTTTTTAATTTATATTAAACTCAGGGTTTTTCCTTTCACAAAATCAGAATGTTTAAAAAGATCTGGATAGGTTCACATGATTCATCCTTTATGAAGAAAAGTATTGATCTCCAAAGATGAAAAAATTTCTAATCAATAAAATTCAAAAGGAAAAGTAAAATTATTTGAATTACAGTGTGACTAGTTGCTTACTTAAAACTCTTTAATCTGAGCATTTACTGTTACCTAACAGCATTTTTTCTAAAAACATGGAAATATGGGTTAAATAATTTTCCAGTTCAATTTATACCAAAAAAAAATTCTTCATATAATGATACTAGGTATAAAGTTTTTAGTATTATTTTTAACTTTCCTTGAACCACAAAAAAAAAAAAAAAAATGCTTATTTCCCCCAAACAACACCTAATAACATACTTCAGTTCAGGTAGCCCATTGAAGATTTCTCTGCGGCTTAATTCAGAAATCCCATTTCCAAGAAATATTTTTGTTCCATCAAATTCTTTGGCTCCTTTTTTACATTTGCCTTTAATATCAGAGTATACAGAAACAACATCTCCAGCTTTCATAACTAGAGAAAGAAGAAAATCATATTATAATGATCTATACTTCAACAGAAAAAGTTAAAGTTCTTTAAGCTAGACTGGAGAACTCTAGGGATACCAATAGTGGGCATGAAACAGCCCAAACTGACTCATCAACTCAATATAATCCCTAATAGAAAATATGACTTTCTACTTTTAAATATCCCTAACAATAAATCTAAATTGAAGAATTTTTTTCTAGGAAAACCAAGAAACGAAATAGTCTTCAAAATATCCTATATCAACTGAAGTCTTTAGCAAAGCAGAAAAGGAAAGCTACTTTCAAATTTATTTATTTTTATTGATTTCAGAGAAAGGAAGGGAGAGGGAGAGAGAGTCAATGATATCAATGATGAGAGAGAGTCATTGATTGGCCTCCTCCTGCACATCCCCTACTTCGGATTGAGCCCGAAACCTGGGCATGTGCCCTGACTGGGAATTGAACAGCAATCTCCTGGATCATAAGCTATCTTCTAATTTAAATTATTTCCCCCAAACCTAACATTCCCTAAAAGACTTCATATAAATCTTGATATTTTGGCTCCATCCTCAAATTCTAAGCTTCGTTCAAACGGACTCTTAAAAACATACACTCAAATTCTTCAAAGGAATCTTTCTAAATCCCATAACCCTATTGGGAAGATTTTAATGATAAGCACATACATTCATTTATATGTGTATATGTACTTAGAATACCTTGAAACTGTACAGTATACAGAGTTGATTTATATGGCTTGATTAAATCTAGTTTTATAGTCATTTCATTAAATTATTTTCAGTAGAAACAAAAAAACACAAAAAACATTACATTAGCAATGGAAAATTGTATTCCACTTCCAAAAAATGTTTTCAGACCTAACCTATTATAAATTTGTCTAGCCCATTACCATGACAACAGTAGTGCAGAGCCTATCAGCTATAGCTAGGACTGTTCAAATCACACAGGTCAGGGGTCAATGAACTTTCTGTGGAAAGGACAAGTAAATATTTCAGGCTTTGTGAGCTACATAAAGTCTCCTGATGTACGCTTCTTTGTATTATTTTTTAAAATCCCACATACTTACATTTTGAAGCCGATACAATTCCTGGAACATAGACATGGGCTCCTCTTAATACAGCATTGCCACATTGGGCTCCAACAATGACTTCACATTGTTGTTTTTCTATATTCTTCCTACGGTCATAAGACAAGAGAAATTTAACACAGGAATATACCTCCAACATGTACTAACCTATTCAATGTTTCAACCTAAACCCTAAATAACCTGTTTAGTCCTGACTGCCCCCAAGATAATGCGATTAATGAATAAATGAGAAAGAAATCTGAAAATATTGAGAAAAGTTTTTTTAAAAAGATAGGCATTTGAGGGGGAAAAAAAAGAGGACCATCTGATAGAAGGCACCAAAAATTGCTTAATCATTTAACAAGCATTGCTGTTTTCATAGCAGTATTAGAAGAGAAATAAAGTCCATCTTTAAAGACTAAAACAAGGAATTCAAAAACATTTCTAAAGTGGTAGATTGCTGCCAGGGAAGGTTTTAATATTTTGAACAAGATGGACAAAGACTATTCTTTTCTTCCCTTGCCAATTTTTTTATGTTTTCCAATTTCTCACCTCCAATTAATTCCTTAGATCACTAAAATCTAGGCATCACTTCTAACGCTCAGAAAGATTTTTTTCAAAGGTCAGGAGGTATCAATTTGATCAGCGCTGAATAAAACTCTTGAGCACTAAGTCTCTAATGAGCTTCCCAGGTTAGAAACATTACATGTGTTGTCATAACTCCTTGTTGGGGAACTTATATGTGTCCCATCTTTTTCCATTATCTCCAGATGATCAAATCTCACTAAACTTCTCAGCTTTATACTACTCCTTCCTGGTCCCACACATTCTCATTGCTCATGCTCTATTTCTTAATGAGGTTCATGCCCCAAGTTCCAAAACATGCTGCCATTTCTTCTCACTTTGCATCCTATCCCATGGAAATCTTATGATTTCAATAATCACTTACAAAAATAATCCATGTATTCTAATGCTTAGCCTTTCTAGACTCTGAACTGATATATTTAATTACCTGCAAGTAGCTATATGTAGGTGTCCCACAGTTACTTCAAACTCAAAAAGTCCTAAACAATGTTAATTTTCTCTGACTCACTCCTCAAATGCTTGGCAACACTCCAAATCTTCTCCTCCTCCTATGTTTCCAATCTTAAAGTGTCATTACCTGCCTTGAAAATCAAGTAGAAATCTCAGTATCAACTTAAATCCCTTCTTTCTAAACCTTTTAACTCGACTGACATTCATTGAGTCGCCAAATCACGCCACCGGCAATGCTGACAGGTCTTCTGGACCCATCTCGTGACATCAAACATACATCTCTAATCTGATTTCTGAAGAGCTTCCTGCCTTTTACCTTTGATTGCTTTCAGTTCTTTATGTCTTTGGTGTTCTGCATTTTCATTGTGGGGTATCTAGACATAGATTTATTTTTACTTTTCACTTCAGACGCACTGTACTTCTTAAATGTCTTTCATCAATTCTGGAAAATTCTTGGTAGCCACATTTTCTACTCTACATCTACGACTCATTAGAAATATGAAGTACCTTTTCATTCTGTTTTCCATGACTCGACTTCACATTTCCAATTTATCTAGCTCTGCTGCATTCTAGATAATTTCCTTTGCATTATCTACTCCAATAATTCTCTATCATCTGTGTCTAACCTACAGTTTAACTCACTGAATGAGTTTTTAATTTTAATGATATTTTTATTTCTAAAAATTCTTTTTCTATTTTACCTTTTCTCCCCTTCTTAAAGCTCTTCCACATTTTAGATTCCTACTTTTGTTTTCATTCATGTTAAGAGCATTGATTTTATAGTCTCTACGAGATAGTTCCATTTGCTAAAGTCTGGAGGGAAATCTAGAATCACGCAGCTGCACTTTGTGGCCTATTTTTATTTCGTATTCCTAGGAGTATGTTGCTATATGTGCTGATTTCCATTCATGGTGGTTTAAAGTGTAGTTTTAAACCATGAGAAATGTGTGTGGCCTGGACTGAATGTATGTCACTCTAGAGTGGTTTTGCCAAGCACCTCAGGAACTGGCTTGAGATCAAATTTTTATGTTAATTTCCCAGATTGCAGGTCATTACCTGCCTTGAAAATCAAGTAGAAAGAAATCTCAATATCAACTTAAATCCCTTCTTCCTCCAAGGCCACCTTGGAAGATTGAATTTGAATTCCAAGACTTTAGGAGGGATGGAACCACAGTTCTGCATTCTCAAAGATTTTTCTCCAACTCAGACCCGAAAACAAGAGATTCAATTCCTAAATTACTGACTCTGGATATTTCTCATCTGCTAGTGTTGATACCGTATTGTTAAAACCAAAGGCCCTAAATATAAAAGACCATCTACCTCCTCTGCCATACCCCCCAACCTCCAAATATTAGTTGACATGCTTACTGCTCTGTTTTGTTATTCTTCATTCTAATTCCCGAGTATTTCACTGAAATTCTTAACCACTCAGCTGCACTTTATGGCCTATTTTTATTTAGTATTCCTAGGAGTATATAGCAGGATCATTTCTAGGTTATCTAGTTCACCGTATTGCTGGAAACAACTTATCTCCAGTCTTGCAATTTATCTTATACACACACATACACACAACAAACATTTCATGAAATATCTTTACTATAGGCAATGCAATATGATATATTATAAAATATCCCATTTCCTTTTTAAAATGCTCATTAAAAGACCCCATGAAATTAATTTTACAGCCTACTAATGAATCACAATCTGCACACACTTTGGAAAACAGAGCTTTATGCTAACATCAGTATTATGTTCCTAAAATACAGACCTAATCATAACTAATTAAGTGTTTTTGGCTCCTATGATCTATGCAAAAAAGAAAACACTAGTTAAAAAAAAAAAAAATCCTTTATACTTCACGGCTGCCTATCCCAACTTCTTCAATCTCATCTTTCACCAATCTCTCTGAAAACCAACTGAATAGCCAAATCTGGTCACTTTTGTGATGAACCACCATACATTTTCATGACTCTATTTTTGGATATGCTTTCTCTTTACCTAACATACCCTTGTCCACCTTACATCCATCCACATCAGCCTAATACCTACTCAAGGCACAAATGAAATAGTATCTACTTGGAGAAAATCTTTACCCATGTCCTTGTACTCTGCCCTTCCTATTCTATGCTCTGGCAGTATTAATTCATACTTCTACTGTTACATTCAGCACAATCTGACTTGTACCAAAACTCCCTGCTTTTAGACTAAACTACTATATTTCATTCATCTTTATAATACCTTTGTGTCTTACCCACAGCCTCAAGTCAAAACATGTTTTGTGAAATAGAACCCTGTAGTGTTAATCAGTGTTTTTATGAGAATAACCGTTTTGTGGAGAGGAGAGAATGAAAGCCTACGGAGAAGACTTAACATAATAGGTTTGAACCACTAGCCTTTTTTTGGAAGGCCTGGTTAAAAGGTTGGGCCCTGACTGGCATCTGTGAACTTAGATTTCAAGAGAGTTCCTGCTATTAATTGGTAGGTGCAGCTGACTGTGCCTAAATTATTTGTACAAACTATATGGCTTATGGCACACCCACTTTCCTTCTGGGAGGCTAAAATTTAGGTATGTATTAGGCAGAGGGTACCCACATGACCAGTCCAAAAAAAACCCCAGATGGCCCGGCCAGAGTGGCTCAGCAGTTGAGCATCAATCTATGATCCAGGCGATCTCGGGGTTCAATTCCCAGTCAGGGCACATGCTCAGGTTGCGGGCTTGATCCCCAGTTGGGGGCATGCAAGAAGCAGCCGATCAATGACTCTCTCATCAATGATGTTTCTACCCCTCTCTCTCCTTCTTCCCCTTCCTCTGTCTGAAATCAATAAAAATATATTTAAAAACTAATTAATTAATTTTTTAAAAGTTCTGGAGGGTGAGGCTCGAATGAGGTTCTCTGGTTGGAAACATCTCACACTGTCGAACCAATGATGGGGAAAGTAAGTGCATCCTGTGTGGCTCCACTGGAAAAGGACTCTGGAAGCTTGCAAATGGTGTTTCCTAGACTCTCGCCATGCACCTTTTCCTTTTGATTATTTTGTTTCAGATTCTGTACTATAGTAAATCACAGTCATCAGTACAACTATATGCTGAATCCTCTCAGTCTTCCTAGAGCAGAGGTGGGGAAACTTTTTTCTGCCAAAGGCCATTTGTATATTTATAAAATCATTTTTGGGCCATACAAAATTATCAACTTAAAAGTTAGCTATGCCCTAGCCAGTTTGGTTCAGTGGTTAGAGCACTGGCACACCGACTGAAAGGTCCCAGGTTCGATTCCAGCCAAGGGCATGTACCTCAGTTGCAGGCTTGATCCCCAGCCCCAGGTCAGGACATGTGCAGGAGGCAACCAAAGTGTCTCTCTCACGTCGCTGCTTCTCTCTCTCTCTCTCTCTCTCTCTCCCTTCCACTCTCTCTGAAAAGCAATGGAAAAAATATCCTCAGATGAGAATTAAAAAAAAAAAAAAAAAGCTATCAAAAAAGCTCCTAGATTTATTGAATTTCAAGTCTGCCTTCGGTTGCTTTGGCAGGGCCAGACCAAATGTTCCCCACCTCTGTCTTAGAGAATCATGGAACCAGGGAATGGTCTTGGGGATCCCTCAACACAAGGACTAATAGCATAAAAACAAAATGGTATGTACAAGTATCGAGATGAAAATCAGCTCTGCTGAAGGGGAGGGTTTTAGCCAGGAAATAGAAAAGTTGATGCAGGGCCAAAAAAGCTTAATGTTTAATGAAAAATTTCTAGATAAATGAGTGAAACAACTACTTTAAAGAAAGATGATTTTCCAATAGTACAGTAATACATATTGGAGGAAAAATAGTATGAAGGTACTTTGATTAACAGAAAACTATGAAGCCTGGCTGGGTGGCTCAGTTGGTTGGAGAAACATCCCATACACCAAAAAGGTTGAGGGTTTGATTCCCAATCAGGGCACATACAGGAAGCAACTAATCGATATTTCCCTCTCACATCGATGTCTCTCTCTCTCTCTCCCTTCTCCCTCCTCCCTCTGTCCCCTCATTCTTACTATCCCTTCCTCTCTCTCTAAAATCAGTAAACATATCCTCAGGTGAGTA